CAAAATATGGAAAAGTTCAAGGGGTATGAATACTTTTGCAAACCACTGTAGTGATCTATGAGGTATTTTGAGTGCACAAACAGTGTTAAAACATGTATTTTAACTATCACTATAAAGCACTACAAGTACGTCTGACGTAATGTAAAATAACACAGAACAAGCCACGTTTGTTTACATGCTAGAGTAGCAACGTTAGCGGTTAGCTCGGATAAGCATGCTACATAGTACGCTACATGCATTAAACAAATATAAAAAGGGAAAATAAACAAACAAATTACACTCATTTTTATTCTGCCTCCTCTCTTATTACTTTCTGTCTATTAAATAATGGGGATGGTGCTTGTGTACGTTTGATTACAGCTCAACATTAGAGAAACATGCTAAACATAGCGCGACCGCTGACAGTTTCATGCGCACAGCAGCCAAGTTGAAATGATGACGTAACACGTGCTCGGGCTGCTCGGCTATGGTTTGGACGCGCCGACCTCTCGACTCGAAACTACGACTTCAGGGGGCGTTCCAGATGAAAAATAGAACTCGGAGGCTCGAAGCTACGACCTCCGAGGACAACTGGAACACAGCATTACACCACAAAAAAGAAGTAGCTACTGGTGTTGGCATAATTCAATTGTTTTGCACGCTTGTAACCTGCACACTCGAACACTTATGTGCACTTCGACTGAATCCACACTTCACAGAGTGTGTAGGGTGCACACTGAGCATTGGGACTGGGCCTTGGAGTGGAGCTCTGCTCCTCCACTTAGAGAGGAGCCAGTTAAGGTGGGCTGGGCATGTCCAACGGGAAGAAAACCCAGGAGAAGATGCAGGAAGGGAAAGACCCAGAGACTATAAGGTTCATTATACTCCACTCAAAGCCGAAAAGTCCACACATGATCAGCGGTTGTTTGATGCTTGTTTTCGCACACAACCTTCATAGCTCCTGAGACGCACTGCGGCGAGCTCCTGGGAAACACCCTCCTGCTGCAGGATATGTCACTGCACAGGGTTACTTCCTGTGGAATCCTCCTGGGTGGAAGACTCGAAGCTGCATGACTCAATTTTCATCATGTAACTGTGACAATGAGATCAGATTTCAGCAGTTCAGATGGAGCAGAGGCCTTATACCTCTCAACTGACCTGGAAATGTCTTGGAATCCTGTTGGAAGAGGTGGCTGTGGAAAAAGATGTCGATGCTGAAGCCCTGCAACCCATGGATGGATGGATGGATGGATGGATGGATGGATGGATGGATGGATGGATGGATGGATGGATGGATTAGCTGTCATCCACCTGAGATCCACCTCTACATCGACTCGCAGCCCATCCAATTTGTCTTTTAGTCAAACTTTAAGAAAAACTTCATCCATTCATCCTCTTGAGGTAAATAAAAAGACCTCATCCCTGATGCAGATGGAGTATTCAACCTTTTTTCAATTAAAAACGATTGCCTCAGATTTATCACCTTTGAATCCCCCGTCCACACTGGCCATGGTCTGAAGACGCCAACAGAACCATGTTATCTGCAGAAAGTACAAACAGGACCATGAAGATCTCAGACTTGAACAAACTGAATTTTTGTACGAAAAATGTGGACACAGCTTAAGAGCAACACCACTGCCCCATTCTGCTTCAATCTGCTCCCTGATGTGCCAAGGTTTTAAAGGAGTGGCATTATTTAAAATATAACTTTTTTTTAGCTTCATGTCAAGTTATAATGTTATTCCCTCATCAAAACACACACCCAGAGTGTTGCTATGACTCATTCTTTCATGTTTGAGAAATGCTTCAGTTTCCTGCAGTAGCCATGTGGAGCTGCCTAAACACTTACTGGTACAAAGCACCGCCTATTTGTACATAGCTCCTCCCTTTTGTTAACACTGGGAACTGTTTTTTCAGGGGATCCAGCAGGACATTCAGTCCAGGCTGTCCATCAGCGACTTCCTCATTAAGCCCATCCAGAGAATCACCAAATACCAGCTGCTGATGAAGGTAACACTGAAGCTTTGTTCGTTTCATTTGGTCTTATTTGGTCTGAATGAATTATTTCACTTGTAAAACTAAAGACATTTGAGCTGAAACTTAATGATGATTATCATTCAGAGCATTAATGTGGTGCTTATGTTTCTCTGCAGGACTTCCTGAAGTACAGCTTGAAGGCAGGACTGGATTGTAAACAAATAGAGGTAAAAAAAAAAAAAAACAGTTTAATTTACATCAGGGGTTCTTAACCTTTTTGACCTCGGGACCCAATTTGTTGAACATAAAGTGGCACGAGGCCCAGTCAGACATTACCAATGTGTATGGATCAAAATGATAATTATTCTAATTGCATTTACATCATAACTAAACTATCATAACAATCATAACTAAATTAAATACACTTACAGTTTAAAAGTAAAACTCCTGTCAAATAATCACAAGACATGATTATGACAAAGATTTTTATATTTCAACCTGCCCATAACAATTGTTTGAACAAATACAAAGGTCAGTCAACAGACCACTCAGGCTTATCAGCACAAAAATATATATTTTTAAATATAAACAATAACAAAAATAGACAATTCAAAAAATAAAATTGTGGGCATAAAATAAATAAATTAAAAATGTTTAATGTAAATGTTTCAAATAAAAAAACCTGTAAAAATAAATTTTGATAAAGTACAAATGAAAATATAGCCGTTTTAAACTTGCTACCAGAAGCTGCTCTTCATATTAGTGACAAACAATAACAGTAACAACAGCTTTTTGACAAGTTTAAAATATCTTTAAAATACATTCAAAATGTTTAAAAATAAACTACAAAAATTAATTTAAAGTGCAACTTAAAATATAGGTGTATCTGCAACTGTATTTGACAATGTTTTGAACAATATTAGTTACAAACTTTGGTGTTTTTTGATGAGTTACTTTCATTTTTGCTTCTACTTTTCATTTAAAATAGATTTCCATTCTCAGCAGGTTTCTAAGGTTCTTCTACATATTAAAAAAGTTGTTAAACAACTGAGTGGCGCACTACTGCTACTAGTGGTGAGAAAGTGTACTATACCTTATTCAAAATACTGTCTATGCGGTCCCACAGCACAAAGTTATAAACTGTTGTTCTTTTGAGGCCCTCAAGGTGGTGCTCACGGCCCATAGGTTAAGAATCTCTGATTTACAGTTTAAACGTTCTTAACCAAAATCTAAGGTACGATCTCACTGGGATTAGATTCTTGGAGAAAGTCGGCACATCTTTGTCTGCTTGCAGGATGTTTAGTTGTTTGTTCTGAAACATTTTAAAATATTTGTTCAACCTGACCTTCACAGAAAGCTGTGGAGTTTATGTCCGAGGTCCCTAAACTGTGTAATGACATGATGAATCTGGGTCGGCTGCAGGGATACGAGGTACATCTTAACACAATAACACATCACTCTCATCACCTCCATTCATTCTTGATGTTTGGCTCTCAGTTCATTCTTTGTGTTGAATGGTTTGATCTCTGCCTCCTCAGGGGAAACTTACCAATCAGGGCAAACTACTGCAACAGGAGACCTTCTTTGTCTCGGAGCAGGATGCAGGTGTCCTGTCACGTTCCAAAGAGAGAAGAGTCTTCCTTTTTGAACAGATCGTCATCTTCAGTGAGCTGCTCAGGAAAGGCTCATCCACACCTGGGTACCAATTCAAGAAGAGCATCAAGGTATGCAGAAGGCTCTGTCAGTGACGGATATGGACACATAACCATGATGCAGCTGAAGCATCTTTAAATTGATCAGTCAGACTGAAATATTCAGAGCTCGCAACATTTTTTGATCTAAAATTAAAAACGTTCTGTGCCTGGTTGTCACCTGAGTGAACATGTGTGAATAATGGCAGTAATTTATAGAATTATCACCCAAACCTGATGAAACACCTCTGCAGGTTTCCAGCCTGGGTCTGGAGGAAACCATTGACAACGACCCCTGCAAGTTTGTCTTGATTAGCCGCGGCTCSTCGGAGCGTTTCACCCTGCAGGCTGCTAATGTCGACATCAAGCAGGTCTGGGTCCAACACATTCAGAACATCCTGGATGCTCAGAACAACTTCCTGTCAGGTGAGTGGGCACATAAACACACACACACACACACACACACACACACACACA